GCAATCGTGTGTGCCCTAGTTTATGCCCCAATTCCCATTGGTGACACAAATATGACTATGAAGCTAGTAATTTAGGCCTCTAATTACCAACAACAACAGGTTAAGACAAGACTGCAACACAAATCATAAAACCAAACATAAATATATTAAGAAACTAACGAACAAGGCACATAGGTTCATAAACAAATTCACCCAAAAAATCCCTAAAGAATCTAGCCACTCATGGCCATAATAACAGTAAATTCAATGCTCAAAGATAAACAAATACCAACGAGGATAAGAGTAAGAGTGAAAGAGTTCTCCCAAATCTTTCTAGCTAATTCTCTATTCCAAAGCTAGTTGTAAATCTTCAAGTTGGTCCGCTTTGTGCTTTGCTCTTGATTGCCTTCAAAACACCCAAATTGCAGAAGAAGAGGGAGACTAGGGTTGATAGAAGATGGTCTTTTTATAGTCGAACCCTGATGGCATCAATTTAGGAGTCCTTTAAGTCAACAGCTGCCCGCGACCTCGACGCGTCAAAAGTCTGCTCGACGCGTCGAGCCTCCAGCCTGTGCGATGTTTGAGGCTACTGGAAATTTTCGACGCGTCGAGGCATGGGCTCGACGCGTCGAATTGCTGATGCTTCGGCTTCTTCCTCTTTTGATCATTTCGTGCTTGAAGTTCTTCCCTTGCTTTCACGCTCACCCTGTAATGGTGAAGAAAAACACTACCGAACACCGTAAGACATTCAAAACAAGTGTAAAAACATAATCTAACGAGAAAGCAAGGAAAACAAGCAATAAATGGACATGATTCAATAACTTTGTTTCTAAAATGAATCAGAAAAGCTATAAAAACATGCACAGATGTGATAACATCAGCGACTCCGCCTTGATGCGTTGCTGCCATGTGAGCTAGCCTGTCCGCAAGTCTATTCTGCTCTCTAAAAATGTGAACGTATCTCAACTCGGAGAAACCTGCTACTTCTCGGTAACACATGCAGAGGATGTTATTTGACATGTCCCTCAGCCCTTCGCCATTTCGAAGACTATCCATCAGGTGTTTCGAATCGCACTCAAGGACGACGCGTCTTGCTCCGTACTCGTGTGCCATCCGAAGACCCTGTAGAATACCCCAGGCTTCCGCAGCTTCAACCGAACACCTGCCGATTTTATATAAGAAACCTCTCCGCCAGGCTCCATTATGATCTCGAAGGACACCCCCACAACTAGCCCTCCCGTCTCCCTACCGACTGCCGTCAACATTCAGCTTTAACCATCCCTCCTCTGGTCTCGACCAAGTGAGCCGCGCATCTACACCCCGGGAAAATCTCGGTAGAGGTCTTTGCACGGACTCGAACGCCCTTTTCGTCTCATCATCACACTGCCGAAGCCACTGTAACTTTTGTTCCAGCAGTGTAGAAGTGCCATTAAAAATCCTTTCATTTCGCCATCTCCACAGCCACCAGAGTCTTGTGCAAAAACGCTCCGGCCATCCGTCTTCAAAGCCGCGCCTGTTATCCCCTCGAAGGTTCAAAGTAAGCCACGTTTTCCAGTCAAGGTCTCGCAAAGCTTCCCGCGTACTCCTTGGTAAGGACTGCTCCCAAATCTGCTTAGCAGCACCGCATCTACGAAACAAATGGTTTAAATCCTCGCAATGACCTGCACAAAAAACACAATTAGCATCAGCAGTTAAATGGCGTTTAGTACGTTCATGGTTAGTCATGATTCTCTCGTGTTTGACAAGCCAGACGAACATCGCTATTCTCGCCGGCACCTTCATAGCCCAGATAAGATCCCAATCCTTGTCCAGCTCTTGACCTCCGGAATGAACCAATAAGCTATACGCTGACTTCACCGAGAATCGCCCCCGGGGGTCCGGGTTCCAGCCCCAGCCGTCGTTAATCTCTTCTTCCGCCAAGCCATACCCTGCCAACCTTTCAAGATCCTCAGGAGGGAGATGTTGCTCTAGTTTCTCCCATTTCCAACCCCTAAGTCTGTCCCAATAATCCTCCACATTGGCGTATAGGTCTGGGAGACTCAAGATGCCCTGTAGTTTCTCATAGAGGGGTTTGGGTGTTAGCCAAGAATCCATCCAAAACCGCGTGGATTTCCTGTTCCGAACCACTCGCGAAATTCCTTTTTCCAAGACTTCCTGTGCGACTAGAATTCCCTTCCATGCATTGGAAGTACTCCTTCTACCCGGTGTGATTAAAAGAGGGTCAGCGTTTCTTACATACTTGGTCATCAGAGTTCTCACCCAAAGAGCATTGGGTTCCGTTCTAATTCGCCAGTTTAACTTAGACAGGAAAGCAATATTCATAGCGTGCATATTCCTTAAACCCAGGCCACCGTTAACTTTCTCCGTTGTGATCGTGTCCCAATTAACCAGGCTCATCCTGTTTCCTCCTGTAGCTTCGTTGCGGCCCCACAAGAACCGACGGGTCCTCTTTTCAATTTCGTTGCAGACACCTTTCGGTAAAGCTGCAGTTTGCATAGTGTAGATAGGAATGACATTTAGTACTGATTTTGCTAGAATGACCCGCCCAGCTAAAGAGAGTGTCTTTGCTTTCCATCCTTCCAACCTGGCCGATATTCTCTCCAGGAGACCCGAGTATGTGTTGCAAGTTACTCTCCCATGTATAGATGGCACACCTAGATATCGTCCTAGATCTTTTGTTTCCTCGATACCCAGCTCAGCTGCTATTTCCTGAGCTAAGTTGGGGTGGACATTCTTTGAGAAGAAGACCTGAGATTTGTTCAAACTTATCTTTTGCCCCGATTCTCGACAAAAAGAAACTAGGCACTCTTGGATGACCGCCACTTGATCGTAGGACGCCTCGGTGAAAAGGACCATATCATCTGCAAAACAGAGGTGAGATAACACGGGCCCCGCAGGAGCCAACTTGATACCATTCCACGCCCTATCATTTACCCTTGAAACAATAAGTTGACTAAGCCTCTCCATGCACAAGACAAAGATAGCCGGGGACATTGCATCGCCCTGGCGTATACCCCTCGAGGGTCGAAAATGCTCCAGACGTTCTCCGTTCCACACGATCGCTAACCTGGAAGAGGAGATACAAGTCAAAATAATGTTAGTCCAAATGTCATTAAAGCCTGCCCAAATTAGTGTTTCTCTAATAAAAGTCCACGAAAGTCTGTCGTAAGCCTTTTCGAGATCCAGCTTGATGGCCATGTAACCCTTCTTCCCTTTGCATTCCCGCATGGTGTGCATAACTTCTTGGTACACAAGTACGTTGTCCGAGATCTGCCGCCCTGGGACAAAGGAACTTTGATAGGGCCCGATAACTTGAGGGAGAACGCGTTTGAGTCTATTTGTGATCAGCTTTGTTAAGATCTTGTAGCTCACGTTACACAAACTAATGGGCCTGAACTGTTTGATAGTGTCAGGGACCTGAACTTTAGGAATAAGCACGACCAAAGTATCATTAATGCCCTCCGGGAGCCGGCCGGTTCATATAGCATCTCGAACCAGGTTAAAAATGCTGTCCCCAGTGGCTTCCCACGTGTGCTGATAGAATCCTGCCGGTAGGCCGTCCGGGCCCGGAGCTTTAAACGGCTTCATATCAAAAACAGCCTCCTTGACTTCATCCTTCGTCACCTCCCTATTAAACACTCTCCAATCCAGCTGGCTTAAGACTGGGAAAGAAGCACCCAAGGTGCGCTCAAGAGCCCCCTCCGTGGAGTCAGTGAACAGCTTGATATAGAAATCCCTTACATGATTTTTTAGATTCTCCCCCTGTGGGAGCCACGTCCCGGTATCGTCTTGCAGACCCAAAATCTTGCTCCGTGCTTTCCGAATAGTAGCTGCAGCGTGATAGAACTTTGTATTTCTGTCCCCCGATCTTATCCAATCTTCTCTAGACTTTTGATACCAAATCAATTCCTCTTGATACAGGGTGTCCTCCAAACTAGCCTGCAACTTTCTTTCCAATCTTCGCAAGCCAGAGTGGGGTCGCTGGGCCAAGATCTTCTGAATGCCCCCAATTCTAGCCAAGAGACTTCGTTTGCGCTTGTGTACATTGCCAAACACCTCCGTGTTCCAACTTTGAAGCCCATCAGCTACCAGCCGTAGGTTATCCGTGAAACACTTATCGGTCTTCCATAACTTCTTGACTACCTCGGGCAAATCCTGGTGTGTAGTCCAAGCAGCCTGAAAGTTGAAAAATTGGACAATATTAGGTCGAGTTCCCCCAAAAAGCCTTACCAGGAGCGGAGCATGATCCGAAGCCACCCGGGGCAAGTGCTCCACCGTAGCCTCTGGAAAGCGGGCACGCCAACCGAGGTTGCACATAGCCCTGTCCAAACGAGCTCCCTTCCCATCATCAGAAGCACCATCCTTGACCCAAGTCAGCTTCGGCCCCGTAAACCCCATGTCTATAAGACCTTCGTCCTGGATCCACTGTACAAAATCCGAACTACGTTGCGTTGAATAGGAGCTATAGTTGCGTGTTTCCTCCCTCGAGACCACTGAATTAAAGTCCCCAGCCACCATCCAAGGTCCGTTCAGGGCCCTTCGCGACTGGGAAAGGTCATTCCATAGCCGGCGTCTCAAGTGCGGAGCCGGGCTGCCATACACTGCCGCCAGGACCCAAGGTGACTGGCCGTTCTGCTGCACCTGTAGAAGGATAAATTGAGGATGGGTGAACAAAATGTGCATGTGTATTGGGTCCTTCCAAAGAACCCAAATACCCCCACTGAAGCCTACAGCTTCTACGCGGATCCAATCCGAAAACCCGAGCTTAGCGCAGATTTTATTAGCTTGGTCCCCCGACACTTTGGGCTCGAAAAGTCCCAGGATGCTTGGCTTATAGACCTGTAGCAGATTTTTTAGGGCACGGTGGACCACCCGTCCACACGCCCCTTGGCAATTCCAAAACAAAAAATCCATAAAATAAATAAATAAAAGAAAAGAGAGAAGAGAAAACAAACAGAGCTCCAAAAGGAAGCTAACAAAACCAAACCGAAAAACAAATACAATGGCAGAGTAAACATTACTCAAACGCCCAAAGGGGCCTCATAAACCTCCTGATCCGCTGGATTGCCTTCAACTTCCATGACTGCATCCCCTTCATTGTCGAAACAGTCCGGCGGGTCAGCGTGGTGTTCTTCAGTAGGTTGCCAAACGGGCGGGGGTAAGTCACCGGCCTCGTTCCCCACCACCACACGTGATGCATGAATAACAAGACCGCCTTGCTCACCTCTGACGACTGTATGTTCGTCTTCTTCCGCCGCTCGTCTCGATCCAACCCCCCGTCTTACGCGTAGCCCCCTTGAAATCTCTTCTTCTCCCCTCCCCCGGACAACCTCTGGCACAAACGGTTCATTCTGAACCTGCTTCTCAGCTATAACTACATTTGGACGTCTTCTGCCATTCTTCGCCCCCTGCTCAGCGTGTAAGTTAGACTGCAGAGTTTTACCAGCATCCCAATTCTCCAAAAACTGGTCAACATTTGCATCCCCATTCATGTCCTCCTCCCAATGCATCACCCCAGCCTCCTCCAAATCAACAAGAGCCGAAAATCTGGTCACTGGAGGTTTTTTAATCTGCCCAGAATTTCCAGATTGCGCAACCTGCTTCTTCCCAACCGCTCCACCATTGTTTCTCTCATACTGCCGACCCCCAGTTCTGCCCTTGCGCCCCAGAGCGATCATCCATTTCCCAAAAGGTTCAACGCCAACAATGACTCCATGCACGTCCCCTGATCCAGCGTTGCCTTCTTTCTTGCTTCCTGTTTCTTCACTTTCCGATGCAGGTTTGTTCGTTTTGGGGCATGTCTCTGTCGAGTGACCGTATATTCCGCATGAGAAACACACTAAGTGGATGCCTTCGTACGCCACCGACCTCACTCGCTGCTTATAGGTGAATTTTGAGATGAGTGGCTTCCGTATATCAACCTCCACACATATGCGTGCGAACATACCCCTCGACACCTGGCTTGTAGCTTGATCCACGCGGATCGTCTTCCCCACCTTGTTCCCGAGCTTCCTAAGGAAAATCAAGTTATAGTACTCAGCTGGTAAGCACGGGATTCTTACCCACACTAGGATTTTCTCTGTGACATCGGCGTAGGGGTCGAAATCCGGTATCCATGGTTTAACAAGCAAGTAATGGTCCATGATCATCCATGGACCCTCAAACATCGCGTGTTCTAGATCCTCCACCGCGCCGAAACGGACGATGAAATAGCCATTATCAATCGCGATGAGCTCCATTTTCCCCTTCGGCTTCCACATCGAGGTGAGACGTCTTAGCAGATACGCGTAGCCTACCGATCTTCCCATCACCTTAACGATGATGGCCTTCCTCCACGGCGCCCTAATCTGTTCTACTTCCGCCTTAGTCAGCCGAATGGTAGGACAGAGTGGATCATCGGCCTCCCCATCGGATAGATCCTCGTCTTCCTCCTCCTCATCTTCTAATAATTTATTTTATATGTTTATTATAGAGTCGCAAAGAAGCTACACCTTTTAGAACAAGAAGCTTTAAGTTTTATAATGAGTTATATGCAATATATTCTAAAGATTGTGCAATTGGAAAAGATGCACATACAGCGGATGACGTAGTTGAAGAAATACAAGATGAAGAACAAAATGATATAAGAGTTGACACAGAAGATAATGCATTTGTTGGTTTGGATGATATTGATTTAACGAGTACACAACCTTAGCCACAAAATGATGGTAAAAAAAGAAGCAATTCAAGTAAGAGAAAGAGGATCATGATGAAGCTATTGAGATATATGTTGAGAATATGCTTAATGTTGCGAAGCTAATAACCAATACAATGTCAAAGGTTGGTAAGAACTTGTCCGATGGTCTTCAATATGATCGTGATATGGATATGTTTCAAAATCTTGATCGTGCATTAAAAGAGGTTGATGGTTTGACTTGTGATGAAATAGACCTTAATTGTTTCGTTAAAGCTCACTGATCATCCTAATAAAGTAGCTTTTTTTTTTCTTTGTCTTGATCCTGATCGAAGACTACAGTGGATCAGAAGATTCCTTGCTAGAAATTAATAAGTATTCATATTTACGGAGTATATTTTATGAACATTGATACTATCATTGGATTGTTTTGAGTATTTTGTTAAAAATAACTTATGTTATTCTTCTTCTGAATATTATTAAATGTTCTTTAAAAAATTTTGTTATTTATATAAATATTTTGTTTCATAATTTACAGATCATTGTTTTAATATTGTTGATAAAGAATAATGGTGATATGTTAATTAGTAGGAAATTGACCTGATATGATGATGATGATGATATATTAATTAGTAGTTGATTATGGAATAAAGATTAATTGATGCATAATAATAATAATAATAATAATAATAATAATAATAATAATAATAATAATAATAATAATAATAATAATAACAATAATAATATATTTTGTACAAGGGCATTTATGTCTTTTAAACATATATTCAATTTCTATTCCTTAACCAACCAAATGTTTGGAATACAATTTCTAAAGTCTATTCCTTCAGTGAACCAAACAATAGAATACAATCAATAATGTATTCCTTACATATTCCATTTCCTATGGAATAACATTCCTATTCCCTCCAAATTTATTACGTGAACCAAACAACCCATTAGTGTTTAAATCATAATGTGACAATAAAATCATATTAATCAGCTATTTATAAATTAGTTAACTTGCCAAAGGCCTTGTGATCAAGTGGCATAGTTGTGCCCCTTCAAATGAGAGGTCTCAGGTTCAAACCCCAGTGTGGGGGCATTGAGAAAGTATGCATACATTGTAAAAAAAAAATAAAACTAGTTGACCCCATTTATGAGTTTTTTTTTTAAAAAAAATTAAGAGTTGAATAGGAGTAAATCTATCGAGTACTGTCACATTAAGAGTTGAATAGGAGTATTAGCGAGTTAAATTACGTACTCATGAGCTACTCGGGTCTAGTTTGACAAATATTGAAATTCATTTCGTTTACATAAAGTTGAGTCAAACTTAAACTCAAGTAGTTTGAGTAACAAGTCAAACCGAATCCGAACTATATATATATATATATATATATAGGGACGCACTCAGGTGCGAATAAGTGCCCAGGAAGGAAATGCGAACGAATCAGCGCGTGACACGTGTCCAGATCTAATAACTTAAAAAAAAAAAACGCGGTGGCATTTTCGTAAATAATTGAACATCGAAGTGCAAGTAAAATCTCTTATAAGTGCACCTATTTTCACCTATAAGTGCATATAATTTTGCCTTGTTAGCATTCACTTTCCGCAACCATTCATGCACCTGGGTGTGCTTATAACTATATGTGCAACTATTTATAACAGTAGGTGCAATTACTTATAACTATATGTGCACCTACTTTCACCTATAAGTGCATGTAATTTTGTCTTGTTAACATTCATTGATCTGAGTTCAGCGGGTAGTAATACTCCTGAAAACCACTCGCAAACATTCATACACCTAGATGCAACTACTTATACCTATGTGTGCAACTACTTAGAACTATAGGTGCAACTGCTTAGAACTATAAGTGCAACTAAGTATTGATGCTCAGTGTAAATTTTTACTTGCACCTATAATACATTTTACATGCACTTGTAATATATTTTACTTGCACTTCGATGTTTAATTATTTACGAAAATGCCACCGCGTTTTTTTAAAAAATCAGTGTTTCTCATCCATTAGATCTGGACACGTGGACGAACAGAATCCATTCCTATTTCGCGCCTAGGCGAGCCGTTCGCACCCGAGTGCAACTCTATATATATATATATATATATATATATATATATATTAGAGATCATATGAGAACCAACATTCTCATGAGTCCATGAGAACCACTCCCATCCATTAAAAAATAGATCTATATATGAAATTAATTGTGGTGATTTATAATACATGTGTACATATTAGGCATTATGATGTATGCATATTAAGTTTATCTCTATGTTGCACAAAACACATGCACACACAAATTTTTACTCACCCAATTAATCTCATCCATAGATCTATTTTTAAGAACCTCTCTCAGAAAGTAACAACATAACTAACAAGACTCGAACCCAAGTGATTGGGTTGATAGCGTAAACCAGATACCGCTAAACCAAGATGCTTGTAAGGTTTAAATCGTAATGTCCTAGGGAAAAACAAGGCGCTCTTATTCATAGCACAACCCCCTACACCGTCCACGTGTACAGCTCCCAACCTTCCTTCCTCAGAATCCTGCACGTACGTGTCTCACGTCCATAAAAAAAAAATTGTCTTTGTAGTGTTGTCTTTTTACAAAATGCACATAGACAACACATTAATGACAATGGTTCGATAAAAACCGTTGCCTTGGACAAAAAAGTTGCGTCAAAGACAACGGTTTTGGACAAAATTGTTGTCTTTTACCTAAAAGACAATACTTTTGTCAAAAGCTATTGTCTTTGTAGTGTTGATTTTGTGCATTTTTCTTGTAGTGCATCAAAATGCACATAATCTAGAATCCCTTTTGTTTTATACTTCCTAGTAGAAAAACTGACTCTTTAATGTTTCCCAAGGACACAGAACTTAAAGAATATGTAGATTAAAACATTTATCTCTTTTTAACAGATTCCTTTTGTGCAATTCGGACAAACCACGTTCACCCATATGACCAAATGTTACTTTCACAACCTAGTAGTATCATCACTAGGCTCAATAGAATGTGCTCTACCTACAACAATATTTCCCAACAACCTATAAATGTTCCCTGTGCTTTTTTTTTTTTTCCTTTTTATCACAATTAATTAGAGCACCCTTTGCTGGAGGGGGATGTTTGTTTTGTGCTTCAGTTGTGGAATCGGCTGTTCATGTTTTCTGTGAGTGTCCACTTGCGATCCAGGTTTGGGGGCATGCAAACACCTCAAATGGTCGTTCGTGGTCTGCTTTTGTAGAAGAGGTTTTTGATCTGCATGATTTGTCTAAGGAGTGGCATATGTTGGCACGGTTCTGGACCCTTTGGAAGGTGCGCAATGACAAATTATGGAACTCTAAAGATTGGACTATATCAATGATCTTATGCCAAGTTGAAAATTTGGTGGCATTATGGAGTCAGACGTATAGCACAACTGCTCAAGTTGGCCAACTGGCTGCATCTTCTACGAGCACATGGCTTCCTCCACCATTTGGGCGCTTCAAGTGTAATGTGGATGCTTCGCTTCTAGGTGACAAGTTGGGATTTGGTGCTATTATTTGTGATCATTCTGGAGGCTTTATAGCGGCTTATGGAGGGTTATTACATTGTACTCGGGATCCGTATGTTGCTGAGTCCATGGCAGTAAAGGAGGCACTAGCATGGTTGAATGAACGAAATGTGTCTCACGTAACTATTGAGTCAGACTGCTTGAACTTTTGCAAGAACTATAATTCTGTCTCTTTAGATTTATCTTATGTTGATCTAGTTTTAGAGCAATGCCGTGAACTTGCTCGTGTTATTGGTGACTTTGTTGTTAGCCATGTTCATAGGTCAGCGAATCATGTTGCTCACGTTCTCGCGCGGTCGGCAGTTTCATCCTCTGTCCTTGGTGTGTGGGATATTATTCCACCCAGTTGTATTTGTGATTTGTTGTGATGAATGCAGTTTGTTTGGTTTTCAAAAAAAAAATAAAAAATTAGAGCACCCTTATTTTAATGGTTTCCCTATCAGTTTGAAATCTATGAATAAACCATTAGCATGCAAACTACCAAGACAAATCAGGTTTTTATTTAACCCATGTATATGTCTAACATAATACAAAGTTTTGACAATATCATCATACACTAGTACATATTCAGTAATTTGTGTCTGAAGTAAAGCACAATCTGCGTCTAAAGTGCTTCATACGAATATGCCAGAGACGCAAATTGTATGAACAATCTGTGTCTGAGGTTACTTCAGACACAGATTAGTAGACAATCTGCGTTTGATCTTACACAGGATTTGATGCTGATTGTTGTATGAAAAGATATCGCATATTGTAGTTATTAAAATTTAAAATGACTATCTATATCAGAAGTTCAAGAATGTCCAACGCAGATAGTGCTTTTTCTTTATTTATTTTTTAAAAATACAATCTGCATCATACGCAGATTATAATTATTATTATTTTTTATTCAATTTATTTTATAAAATTTCCAATTTTTTATCCTGTATAAAAAACATTATTCACACTACCAACACTGTCACTGCCACAACCATTTCAAAGCCTCAACACTTTAACACAATACACCAACAAAATTACTTCAAAATTAACTCATACATTCAATACTTAACACATTAGCTTAAAGTTCA